AAAATTCTACTTAACTCTATCGCGTAGATCTTAATGTAGATATGGATCTTACTAGTACCGTTCCGTTTTTGATGTTTTAACATGTAAAGTATCAATAAAGTAATTCATGCAGTAAGTAAATCTTAACCTGCACGCCTGCACGGTGCGCCATAATACCCCCAACCTGAAAAAAACATATCAATTTTTAGACGATTTTTGAACGAACAGTATATCAAGTTTTTTTAAAAAAATGCAAGGCTTTCTTTTTATCATTAGTTAGTAAAGCGAATGCTGGTTTATTTTAGTAAATTTTGGAAATAAATATGCTTTTTTCAAATATTTTTACTATTAGCAATCGTTAAGTGCGCCATACCCATGTTTCCCTTAAGTAAGCTTATTTTTTTTTTCATTAATAAAGAAAGGTATAATATCGATATAGTCGAAGTAGGATTGTTATTGGACTGGTCCAATAAAAAATTTTAGAATTGTACTGGTCCAAATAATACAATTTGATTGGTTTAAACTTATTTTTATTAATACCACATGACAAACAGATTTGGTCTAATAACAACTCTGAGTCGAAGGCCTTTGACATCTATGAGAAATAAAAACAACTGCTTAGTAGACTCATAACAAAAATTAATAGATAGTGTGCAAATGCATCAAAGATCAGATAAATTTACATTTTTATGACACGAACTCACAAAACCTCAGTAGAATCACAATATATATCTAATACTGTATATGTAGGTGTGGTCACTGCCTTCAATCTTATAGCATTTTACTGCCACAAAAGCGAGCCCATTCACAATTACATACTATCCATGGTTCATCTACTTTGGTTTAAAAATCATGTCCATTTTTTCCAAATTGAACTTGATTTCAAAAACACTTATATGTCGTTCTAACTTTTCACCCGTACCAAAGTCATGATGCTGCTCTGCTCGCTCTTCAGATTCTTCATTACAGCTGTTTTCATAAATTTTGGAACACTTTGTAAAAAATTGACCGAATGATTGTTTGGCCGATTTGATAAGTTTTTGTATGCTTGATGCATTTTGTCTACGAAATTATTCTTGCCAATCAATAGATATTGTAACAAAAAATATGAATATAAGTTTTCATAAGTATACATTATTGGGCAAAAATTGTTGAATAACGGCAATTTGGCAAATGAGCACGTGCCGCTTTGCGGCACGTGTAGCCAATCATTTGCCAAATTACCGTATTCGACAATTTGCCCAATAATGGTGTTATCCGGCAATTTATGATCATGGTTGGTAGGGAGTCGCTCGCTGAGTTTTATTTTTTGAATATTGGAATAACATAATTATATCGTAACACATGAAAAAAATAACAGAAAGAAATTTTTTCATGATCATATGAGTTTGCCGGATAATAATACATTACACGAGCAGATGCTAATAAAAAAAAAAAAACTCGATATTACAAGAATTTATTGACTGGATTAAAAAAATGTAACACAAGTTATAATTCCAAACAACCAAATTTTGTCGAAACTGTATTAAGAATGATATAATTTTATTTAAAAGTTTTTAATATGATTATTATAAAACATAAGTTTAAAAGAAAACTAGCATGAACTTGATGAAAATATTGAAACAGTCAAACAACTTAGGAATCTTTAAATTGTTCATCTATAGTAAAATACCTAGCTTGTCTGAAGTAACCGCAGAAATATTTTGACTTGTCTGAAGCAACTTCAACCGAAACTTATTTAACATCTAACTTATCTGAAGTAATAGCAGCTCAATCAAAAATTATCGTAAAACTTTAAATATTTTACATTGTCCAAAATTAATATTATAAAAGTGATTTTTCTAAAAAGTGCACCAATTTTAGATAAGTTTTATTAATCTTTGAACGAAATAAATAAGTACATTAAGTGGAAATTAGTTACAAAAAGCGGCTAAGGGCATCCACTCAACGAAATTTGGTTTAGATGACAATGCTTATATAGTTAAAAGATATGATAGATACGAATACAAGCATATACATAAATATATATATATATGAATATATGAAATAATAATATTTAAAAAAATTTTCCTTTGAATTTTTTTTTCTTTTTTTTGTAAATAAACGCGAACAAGAAAAAAAAATCTTTTAAAAACATGGCTGGATGTAGATAATAGATTTAATTTCTTGAACATTTGCCATTCTTGTGTTTTGTAGTATTCAGGTGTCTCTCCACTTTATATGGACTTCCCATCCAAAGAGGGCATGATGGCAAACCGAATTTTCCACCTTTGACGGAACTATTAACTTTTAAACCATCCACGTGTTGATGTAAAGGATATAAAGAACTTCTTGACGATGTTGATGAAACGGTTGCTTCGTCAATGAAAGTTGATCCGTCTGTTAACATGTTAAGATATTTAATATCATAATTTTATTATAATATTGTTTATTAAAAAGAACAGTCAGAATTGAAGTCCTTACCTAGATTAGGACCACCTTGACCTAAATATGAACCATTTTGGTCATTAAAATCTCTTTGGTTGAATTCAGAGTTGTGATTGAAATGGAAACCTTCGCGTTCGCCGTTAGAACCATTCTGATCGAATTCAGAGTTGTGATTGAAATGGAAACCTTCGCGTTCGCCGTTAGAACCATTCTGATCGAATTCAGAGTTGTGATTGAAATGGAAACCTTCGCGTTCGCCGTTAGAACCATTCTGATCGAATTCAGAGTTGTGATTGAAATGGAAACCTTCGCGTTCGCCGTTAGAACCATTCTGATCGAATTCAGAGTTGTGATTGAAATGGAAACCTTCGCGTTCGCCGTTAGAACCATTCTGATCGAATTCAGAGTTGTGAT